TATATTATTGGTGCAAAAATTGTCGTTTTTTGAATTAAAAAATTCCCGAGAAGATCTTATACTTACATTTTACACTTAGATTACATTCTATTAGGAGCATCGTATCTATATCTAGTCGGATTAGGACATCGTGGTCCGATTGGTCCTACTGGATAAGGATAAGGATATCTACGTACACAAGCAATTGGTCTAAATCCTCTTGGTGGAAACATGGGGCCTATTATAGGGATCGGAGGTGGAAAATTCTACAAACAAAAAGATTATTTTTTTATGAAAAGTAAATCGATTTAATATAAATCCAAAAACACAATAGAAAACATTGATTAAATCAGTAGATATTTATGATCTTTACTTACATAGGGATGGAAAGAATTTGCTGAAGACAGCTTCAGTAGTTTGTTGCAATTCTTTATGTCTTTCCATGTGATGTATTTGTCGCTGTCTCGATCTTCATCTTCGTCAGTGTCTTGATCTCTGTTTTTATTTCTATATCTATCTCTGTTCCTTTCTGTATCTTTACTCTTACGAGAATGTTTATATGATTTTTCACATCCACCACATCTATAACGATATTTATATTTCGTTAATGACTTATAATAATTAAAAAGCTTTGATAAAAATCAGTATATTTTTTAGTAAACATATATATATAGAAAAAAAACTTCTACAATCAAAATATGTTACTTTATGTTTAAAAAAAATGCAAAGTGATCTAATAATAATAATAACAAATTCATCAAAAAATGCGGTGTGTCGTATAATATGATAAATAAACGTCTTTGTGTATGTCTCCGATAGATGCATATACCAGTTTATTGATTTTTATTTTTTTTCTGACACAAATAAATTTCTAATTAAATAATTTGATACTTGTACCTGCAGTGTGAGTTGCGTTTCAGTTCTTTAGAACGTGAACGCTTAGTACGCCGTTCATCTATATCTGTATCCTCTTCATCTATATCTGTATAATTTTTCTCACAAACTTTATATTGTTTTGATCTGTTTCTTCTGGAACAGAAAAAATATAAACTCTCTCTCCTCTTTATTAGAAATCACAATTTATTAGTTATTGCTAACTATATGTTTATGTATTTCAAAGATAATATTTTTGAATTTTTTCAACTTCGTTTACGATCAAAAATTAAAACCTTTATTAAACCTCTATTAAAAATTTGTTTTCTATGACAATTTTGTTGACATAGTTTATAGTTCAAGGTTTGCACCAAAAATAAAAGAAAAAAGAGTGTGTATTTAGGAGTATTTGTATTGCACAAGTGTTAACAATCAAACCTGTTACTTGAGTTTGGTGATAGAGACCTCTTTCTTGAAGTTCGCATTTTGTTTGTTTCAGAATCTGAAATATTTAGTATTCTAGTATATGAATGTTCCATAACTGTTATATATTATTTGTATATATGTATGTAGAATATTGTTTTAAAAAATAGAAAAATAGAAAAATAAAAACCAATATTTGTCAGAGTTATGTCAAATACATAACATTACAGTAACACAATTAAAATATTAAAACAGTATAATCTTAACATAATTTGTTATACCTAACTGAATTTTTCTTGTGGTTATAATTGTACGGTGTTTCTTTTTTTCGTCATCTTTAATTGCTCCTTGTTTTATTTCTATTTTATCAAATATCGGTTTACATCCTTCTCCTAGACAGTTTGTATTGGATAAGTGCAAAAGTTTTGATAGATTTTGTGATGATAAAATAGACCAAGTAATTATTTAGACCAGTAAACAAAAAATAATTATTCATTCTCTCTATAAGTAATCCCCATTGTTTTCTATTACTCACCCAATTTTATGTGTTTTAAGTACGCACTTTTTATATACTTTTATGAACTTGAAATCTTCAGAGAAGAAATACAATTATTTTATCCAAGAATATATTATTAAAATCTTTAGAGAATACTTTACATCTTCCAAAAGACGCAAACTGTATCTACTTTAATAATGTATATACATTTGTTATTATATATGTATATATATGTATATATAATCATAATTGTTGAAAAGTACATGCTATTAAATTAACATTTTATTTTTGCAAAACAAAAAAATTTTACATCAAATATAAAAACTAAACACAAATATTTGGTTTTTGTTGTAACAGTTTTTTGTAAAATCTAGATGATTTCATCATCAATCATCAATTTTCACAATTGTTAAAGTACAGTGGTAAATCTTCAGTAATGATCAGGGTTGGGTTATTCGAGCATTATCTATAGTTTTTTACATTTTACAGTTTTTTACGGTAAAATACGTAAAAAACGTATAAAATACGTATAAAACGTATAATATTTATCGAAGTA